TATATATATATAAATAAACAAAAAATAGAAACAAAATAGAAGCATGCCTCCCTTGAAGACAAGTCAACAAATTACTTTTGTCATCATACATTTCCCTCGGTTACACGACGGCTGCTCTTGAAAAGTCTTATTTTCTTCTATCGCGAGAGACGAGCTTCGAACAGTTCTCTCGCAGCTCGCCTCTCTCTTCGACTCTTGTCATCAATCAGTTTTACGAAATAGTCGAAATTGATCAAACTAATGATCAGTCGAGTGGCACAGGATATAACAGTGCTCTATCTCCTATTCTTGAGTTCTCGAGAAAAAGGTTTCCCGAAATATTCTTGGATCGATGAAATCTCAATACTCCAATAACATTGACGATATCGATTACTATTTCCGATTACCATGAATAATTGTAACATCGGTGTACAATGAAATCAAGATCATTTCGCGAAAGCTTCTCGAGAACTCCGAGATAAAAGTTGGACCGTTGTTATTCCAAGCCACACAGATAGATTAATCGGTTCGAATAAAATGAATTTGCTCCAATTATCTCGAATTGTCTCGAATTCTCTCAAATTATCTCGAATTCAATCAGTTTGACTTGAGATCAACGGTAGAGGTGAATTGGAAAGTTCTCGGACTCACCGAATGATAGTGCCTAGCGGCGTTTGGAAGAGTGAAGGCGCGTTGAGTACCAAGGGGTGGATAGTTTCTGGGAGCCGGGGAACGTGCCGATGACCTCCCAACTGCCGCCCACGCAAACACAACACAAACACAAAAACACAAATAGAGACACGATGATACAGGTAGCGGTGTCGGCTAAACTGATAGACCAGCGGTAATAAACTATATATCGATAAATGAATGGGCCAACGTTGGAAGATAGACACGCACGCATGCAGGCACGCGCGCGCGCGCGCGCTCGCACGCTCGCACGATACGCCGCCAATAGAGCCTAAGTACCTTAGAATGTCGGCGTCAACCCTACCGCGCAGCAACTTCCGGTAAAGCGAGACAAAAGTATGCAGTGCCGGTGGAACGTAATTGTCATGCAGATGATAGAATATGTACACGTACAGGGTGTAAAAAGAGGAGTTTCTCGTCATCCCGCAGATTGATTCGACTCATCGGATAGATCAACGATTGGTTTCCATAAATTCAAGGTCAAATGTTTCTGCTTAGTGTTTTGCTTAAGACGACGAGAAGCGGTAAATGTTCAAAATCTTTATTTATTCGTGTCTTTGATAGGAATTCAATTTAATTTCGAATTCCGAATGTTCGACTACGAGATTACACCCTGTAAAATCAAATCTACACCCCGGCAGCGTGTTCGTTTCATTATCTTCCAACATTGTAAATACGAGACATTCAAAGAAGTATGAGAGAATGATACTATTTCTTTTTTTCCAATCTGAGCGACGTGTGTTCGTGTATGATGAAACAGTTGCGAATGGTGAAATATCAGAGTTACCATGCGAGAGGAGCGTAGCAAGATGTAGTCTAGGGTAATCAACGAATGGATTGGTATACCACGGTTGGGACGGTTCAATGAAAAGAACTGGGAATTCGTATCGATTATGCTACTTCGGGGGATGATCTTATCGACGCACAAGGCAAATGTTCCTTCCGCGTTCCTTAAAATCCGAAATAAGCGAAACGCGTATTTCCATGATACAACGATTAGCCAGTTGACAAATAGCCTAAGCACGTAAAGATCCACGGTCTACTAATTTTGATTACGAAGCTCGTAAACCTTCGCTTTGTGAAATACCTTCTTTACAGACTCGATGAAAGGATCATTCACCTTGGTACAACTTATCTCCGCGAGAGAGCCACTCGCGCTCGAAGAGTAGCTCGAAGAGTAGCTCGAAGAGTAGCTCTCTCGCGGGGAGTGCAGTGTTCGGTCGTTGGGGAGATGATAGATGAAAGAATAGGCAAGCACATCGATGATAGATGCCGTCCACATGCATAAGCGGATAATACATCACCTGGTTAAGTTAATGGGCGACCGTGGTGTGCGGTATTCGGTGCAAACTTAAATCCGCTGCTCGAGTCACGCGCTTGTTATCGGTTCGTTAATCGAGCACGGACACCCATCCCCGACTCGCACGATTCTCGTAATCGCACGGGTCGAAACGGTTCCCGTTCCGCACGATACCGAAAACTCATATTCCCGTTTTACTTTGGGGTACGTGGAACGTTTTCTCCCTCTCTTTCTCTCTCCCGCTCCCCCAACCCCCGCTCTCTCGCCCTTTCTCTCTCTTTCTCTCTATCACGGTCGGAATCTCATCTAACGTCCGATGTTACTTTAAACGGTAGAGTGGTAATATGTTAGTGTCATGTGCGAACGTGTGGACATGTATGAGATGATTATCACTTAATGTTAATGAGACGATCATGATAATAATGACAACTAGACGTGATTGATCGTGACAGAGACAACTTACCGTTGTAACTGGGACCGCTGGATCTGTAACTGAGGCCATCGTCGTCTTCCCAGGGCCTGGCGTGATCTATATTTCTCGAAGGAGCTGCGGCAAACGGTTAACCACTCGTCAGGAATCGTTGCGAAATTATGCAGTGTAATTTATATTTAGAAAATTCTTTGCTTCTTTGAGACTCCTGTCAGCTATATTTCGAAGCAACCTATTGATTCTTCGGATCTGTTATTTCGTAATCTACAGCTAGAGTTTTCAGTTGTTTCTTTTTTACTATGAGAGACAGTTTAGCAGGTAAGACATCAGTTGAAAGGTTGCTGTACAATAAAATGATTTGGAACTTACATGCACCAACAGGGCTCTCGTATCGAAGTCTATGAGTCGGTTCTCTGGCTGCTGACGGCGTCCTCGACGCGTTTCTAGGATCTACATTGGCAGCTTTATGTCTTAAATTCTCCCGATCCTTCTCGCGATCTTGTAGGAACACCTTCGCTATGCCAGTGTCGATTTTGCTCAGCTCGTCCTGCTCCTTTCTCAATTTCTCGTCTGCCTCCTTTATATACGTCTTGTTATCGACTTCGTCTTCTTCGTCCGATGCAGGTACTCCCTACGCAGTAGACACAGTATCAAGAAACTATAACTCACTCATCTACCGTGAATTATGGTTTCTTCAAAAAACAAACAATTAACGTTCCAAACAATCATCCCCAAAAATATTTTTCAAAAGAAATTCCTCGACATTTCTGGTCGGCGAGGTAGCCCTATTAGCAAGATTGTGCTCCGAGTCTAAGCAGTGCAGTGTTCTCAATTTGTAGTGATCACGACAGGGTTAACAGCCATAATGGACAACGTTACATGTCCAGCCCATTGCTTCTAGAGATAGAGGACGGAAGCATACCTTGTATGTGTCCGACCATCGCCTGCGTCTCTCAGGATCTGTGTAAGGATAAGGAGGAGCAGGGAAATCGTCCCTTTCGATCGGCGGCTTGGCTCCGGGTGGTGGTTTCATGGCGTCTGGATAATGCGCCAGCTCTATTGGCTCATCATTATCTACTTGACTGGCCGGCGACTTCGGTCTGGGCTCGCTGAGAGCATCGACCAGAGCTCGCATTCCGGATCGGCTGCTACGTCCACCGCTGCTTCTTATCGAACGAGACGCTACAATAAGAAGACGATACAATTTAAACTTGCTTCATTTAGGTACCTATCCTGCACAGATTCTACCTGCCTGGACAAGGCGGGTAAACGTAGAACATGGTAAAGTTTGGATCGGTGTAACTATCGGTGTACCATCATCGTCTATACGAGACGGTTACAATTTTCAACAATATTGGCTCCAAATACTGTTCTCCACGAGGGAGCTAGCCTTCGTTATCTCGGAGTAGCTCTTTCGCAGAGATTGTTCTAGGTTGCTTCATTTACAATCAAAATGTACAATAGTAATTATAGACTACTAGGTGATGGAGATTCGAATAAGACGATGGATTCGAGCTTCATTTCCCTTCACTCGGAAGCAAAATTTGGCACAAATTGTTACTCTCCGTACTGTGCAGAGCAGCCAGGTGGTATCGTTGATCGTATTAACGGTGATCCAGGGTGAAATCGTTGCACCGATCCAAACACGATGCCATTGAAACCGAGAAACACCACTTACAGCTGGGTCTGTGAAAGTGTGGGCTAGTCGGAGGTTTGTCGTACGGCTGTATCGGACGTCTCAAGTATCCTTGGCTGGGCGTCTCGGTCAAGTACGAGTACGTGTAAATCCTAGACACATCCTCGGATGCGCCGCGTCCGTACTCTCTCAACATCAGTCCAGGACTGCCGGTTCGCGCGGGGTAATACTGAGGCAATTAACGCATATTATCGCGGCTAAACTCGTGCTGGGTTCGCGGTGTGTTGTAAGCGTCTTGTCATACCGCTAACTTTAGCTTCGTACTGAGCAAAGGAAGATAAGAGAACTCAATGCGTCTCGCATTCTTTCGAGAAATTGCACCGTTACCACGGTATCAGCCGTGTCATAAATTTTACGCTATTCTAGACCCGCGGGTGCGGCCGGTGTTCCTTTGGAAAAGTCCTCCAGACCATTCTATTATCGTCGCCGACCGTTCGGAGTTTAGGGTTTCGATATCATTCGGCAATCGCGAGAAATTAACTTTTCCCTACTGTTCAGGTAATTATATTAATACCGCATACCTGCATTTTTCGTTGATTTCTCGTTGATTTCTCTTTGATTTCCGTTATTCGTTTAAAGAGCTACCGTCTAATAAACGATCGTTGTTATTACTGTACTCTGCGAATTACATTATATCAGAGCTCCAATCTATTCGGGAGGGAAATCTTATCTCCGATGAGATTGAGAATAGATATGATTAAAGCATACGATTAAAAATTTTAGTTTGCTTTTGGATTAAACCGAGCGATACGATGTGTACGAGTTTCAAGAGAAAATTAACGAGAACGATATTCTTTTCTGAGATCGAATATTAATCGATCGAACATTGGGACACCGTGGCAAAGGAACACAGAACACACTCGTAAACTAGGAACAAGGTCTCCGCGAATCTCAATTAGCGCGAGTGTAGGTGAAACTGTATGCAAGTAGGACAGGAATCAGCCGATTGACCGCTTTACCAATTGATTCGTCCGAGTCTCCGTGCTCGGAACGCGATATTCGACAATAGCCAACACCCACGTAACGAGAGCGGGCGATTCGAGCCCAGAAGTATTCTCATCGATCCGTATCTTCAACGAATCTCGCGGTGTTTCTCGAAAGAATGTTTGTGCTAGGAGATACATGGCATACCTTGCGACTGAGGCTGCTGTAAGGGCTGCAGAGTGATCCGTTCAGGCTTGGCGTGCGTGACCGCAATGAAAACTATACACAATGACCGTGCGAAAAAAAAATAAACAACGATTAAGAAAGCAATAATAAAAAAAAACAATAAAAGGTAATCAAGAATTAAAAGAAAATATAATTGAAGAATAGAAAAAGAATGAAATACGATAAGTTCTCAGTTCAAGTATGTATATATATATATGTATATGTACGCATAATATATAATATATAATATATACGATACCGAAAAAACCGTACATCGAAGCGTGCGGAGATAACAACGACACGTTTAAGGAGAATAATGATGCACAAAATCGAAAGCCAAAATATAATACCGTTCCAGTAGAAATGGAAAGTTAAGCTATACACAAAGCTGTTACGAGTAAACATGGTAAACATGGTGAACAGGTGGTTTCAGGTGGTTCTAGTTTCGTATTTGGTCTACTCTAATGTAACGTCTGGTATTCGAACAACTGGACACCGTCGCAAGAACGTCAAATCGAGCAAAAAACAAAAAGAACAAGATTCTTCACACGAACGGCTGGCTCCGTTTACAGTCCACAGAATAAGCACGATGCAAGCTGACGTTGTATGTTCATGTTCGCCGAACGAAATGCCCCATCCCGAACGGGCAGACGCGCGCAAACCGTGTTCGACAGCGCACGATGCAGCTGCACGAGAAAAAAATGCAGTTCGGCGGACGAGAGCGGCGTGCACATATTCACCTCCAACGATATCGAACGCAGCTATGTACACGATCGTCAAGACAGAGTGTTAATCGAGTTAACGACTGCACAGGCTGTTTTGTGATTGCTGGGAATCGTCAATGAAAAAATCAATTGGAAATACAGTCGAATGAAATGTAGTTGCTCGAGATTTGATTGTTGAGAAAATCTTTGTCTTCTACGTTCACTTATTTCCTTCGAGAACAATATTCTCCTCCAGGCGAAATAATTCTCTCTCCATTATACGAAAGGAAATCTCGAATGAACGAATTTCATTCTACGTTTTCGGCTGACTTTCGCATCTGCTCGCAGAGCAATTACAGAACGCTATGCGAATAAGAATAATGAAAATTAGTAAAAACCATGGCAACCGAATGAGAAACGCCCATGAATCGTGTAAGAACGCGATCGAACCGATGAAATGATCGAGGAACCGTCGTGAGTCTGTATCGAGAGACGACGACACGACGAGATGCAGCAGCGCAAACGAAGAACAAGGAGCAATTTACAAAATCAATGTCATCGGAACGAATGATGCAGTGAAATTTACAGTTGGCCAGTTCCGAATGAGATTCGAGTTTGGGAGGAACACAGCTTCGACGGGGGAGGATCGAGAACCAAGAAATTCGATCGCAGTCGTGTCCTGATCCGACTGCTTCTCTCAAAATGCTCGAAACAATGTTTGTCGGCGAAATGGTAAGTTTTCGAGCGCGTTTGATCGAGAACCGATCGAACAGTCTTCTCCGGAGCCTTACCTGCATCTCGGACGCGCTGCTGGAAATTCGCTCGGACTCCCGGTGCTGCGGAGTGTGAGCCTCTCCGTGGCCGTTTACGATACCGTTCGGACCACTGGGCCCCGGGCCGCAACGCGGGTGCCATATCGCGGCACCCTGCAAGTACATCTCCTCGCCGTCGCCGAAGGGATCGCCGCACTTGGTGCAGCGAGCGCAAGTCGGATGGAAGTGATGGTTGTCACCGGCCTGCAGCACCTTGCCGCTGATGTAGCGATTGCAGTACGCGCACTTCACGCCGAACTGCTTCTGGTAATCTTTCTCGCAGTAAGGCACCCCGTCTCTGCCGGAAACATTCGGTCATTCTTTTATTTCACGCTTCGCCTCTCTTCAATTGTTTCGTCGACGGACATTTCCCTAGTGTGCACGAGTTTTCAGATGATTTTAGACAATTCAACGATATACAATTCATCCGAGGTATCAGGAACAGGTGAATTTTGATCGACAACGAATCTTGATGTATTCCATCTCACTTCTACCATAAGGCATCATCCGGTCGACCGAAAATATTTTTCTTTTATTACGGGTTTTATGAAATAATCTATGAAAATGGGAATTCGTATAAAGATCTTCGTGTAAAGGCCCGCAATCTAAATGAGAATCACCTTTAACCTTATTCAAGTTTTATCGTTCAGGATTTTTGAGAACGCTGCGCGGCGGTACGAATGCATAAATATACGCAGCCCACTAATTAAGTCGGTTAATCTTGGAGTGTGAATTTAACGAGGATAATATGCAAACCGGTAGAAAACTTGCGGAGGATTATTCGCTGCGAGTTTTACTGTCAAAAGTTTCTGTACCTCGTTCTTTACACCGAGATCTAGGCCACTGTCGTTTGGACTGATCCTGCTTTCAACGTTTTAATAGAACGTGATTATTTGATTATGAAACTAACGGACTCGACGAAATTACAATTTCCAGAAGTTTACTGTTAATCCGTTATGTTTTCGCAATCAAAGTTCTCCAAGTTAATCTTCGATTAAGGAAGTTTCGAAGTAAGAAGTTGTTTCTTCGTCAAGTTACTCCACAGCTCGATCAAAGTTTCAAGAGATCTGTCTACGTTCTTCGACATTCACTTCGAAACTCTCGAGTGGAATCTGCGTTTCTTCGGATTGTCTACGAACTTTATTGAAAATTAACTTCAATATTAATTATCGATTTAACCCATCGTTGTTCATTAGCACGAGGCGAAATAAAAAAGGTGTACCAACAAAAACAAATAAACTATAGCCTCTAAAAGCCTCAATTATGAAACAACATAAAAGACATAAAGAAAAAAGGAATTCCCTTTAAAAACAGACGATAATAACTTAATCTGCTCAACCCATAATTACCGATATTCAGTATAAAATACAAAAACAGAAGGGGGAAAAAAACAAACTTTTATCGTATCTCAAGAATCTTTCGCTATAAAACCTTAAACGAACGCAACGAATGCAGTCCCCGCTCGAGAGTGAACTTCCTGCGTGGCGTGATCGCGGGGCGGCCCTCGCTCCGCACGATCTAATGAAAATTTCACGCGACACGTGATCCCCCTGTGTCGCGGCTCCAAGATCGAACGAACGACCATGTCGGTCGGGAACAAAAGAAAACCAAAGAAACGAGAAAAAAGAGGCAGGCAAGGGTATATATATATATATATTTCTAGCGGCTTTTATCGGTCTTCCATAGCGTTCAGCAGAAACTATAAGTCAGAATAATTACAGCACAAACTCGATAAATGGGCTCGCCAGATTAGGTCCAGATTTAACAAACGATAATTCGACTTGGAGAGGGTTTATAAAAGTTTCGACCGATCGTAGAGTTTAGCCATCTCCCGAATTCGACTGGCGAAAGTAAAATAAAAATAAAATACCCAAGAATAAATGCAAAGCGAGTAATTCGAGTTATAGCGTCTTCGCGTTTGACTTGTAGAGGTATTTACGGGAAAATCGAGCAGAACGAAGAAACTTGACGAGCCATAGCAATTCGATTTAGCAAGGTTGTCAAAGGGTTGTCCAAGGTATCGATAAAACGAAACCACTAATTTTCCAGACTCACTTTCCCATGTACTCGCCGTGGAGCACGGTGTCGCAGCTGTGGCACTTGAAGCACCATACGTGCCATTGCCGATCGAGCGCGACCAAAGCCTGACCTTCCCGTAATTGGTTTCCGCAACCGGCGCATGCACCGGGGTCGGAGGGCCCGTCTCCGGCTCCTCTGGTCGTCGCGTTATTGCCGACCGGCGTCGAGGCCTCTCGAACCGGGATACCGACGCATCGATGGCATAGAGCTTGACCTGTAGACAATGCTCGGTTAGTTCAGATTGGACAGATCCGGTCGACGATCCGGCCGGTGACGCACCGCGGCAACGCCACGCCGAGCTATTGTCTTTTTATCCCGAGCTGTATCTTCGCGGCTGATTCATCGTTTGTACGCGCGCCACTCGCGACCATTCGACGATTGTTTACTCCCGGTCCCGATTTGCGCGTCTCTTTATATAAATAGCTGCGCAGCTCGCGTTTGCCGATCTACGATCCTGCCGCGTTTCTCGGGGAAGATACGGACCGCTTTGTTCAACCGACTCAGCTTACGATGACCGAGAACTAGAAGAGACTCGCCGGAACCGTCACCGATTCTTTATGGGAAACATGTTTATTTCTGGAATAATGGTTTATTAGAAATTGAACATGTTCATTTTAATTGGAGCATTGGAGGATTCTTCTTTTGTAGATGTTGATTTGTGAGAGTTGACGGGATTTTTATCGGTGAAATGACGGGATGGCTAAAGGCAGTTTTCCTTTGTTCGGATCACTGTTGCAAAACGACCTAGGGAAACCCATGAAAATTTCCACAAAAGATATGCAGACGGTTTATGCTGCGAATGGCAGGGACGTGGGCAAAGTCCACATTTCCCCTTCCATAATCAGCTGATATTAGGAATCAAAGGCACGAGGGAAACAGCGGCGGCAGCTATATCGTTTCTGGAGCTGGATCTCTAAAAATACGCGGGTCCTCTCGCGGGACGATCGATAAAGCGGCCGAGGTTGCACGGAGATGCGCATAAACATTTGCCCGCGGAACAATGTAACGGATAGGATGGAATAGGATCGGATCGGATCGAAGGGGGTTTAACTCCGCGATGGGGTCATTACGATATCTCTCGCCTGCGTAGATATATTTTCAAGCGTTAACCGTGTAATCGGTACAAGGCCACCCGTGCACGGCCTCGTTAATCCGGTACGATACACCTAAGTGGTAATTTGCTTTAACAGGTTCGCCGGTACGCCAATTCCGCGGGTCCCATCAAAAGACGATGAAAGAAACCGTTTGTTGCGCGTCAAATCACGGCCCGCGGCCACTTACTTCTCTAATCCAGGAGCGTCCAACCTTTTCGCCACTGTAGAGTCACGTTGATTAAAAGAAGTCACCTCTTTCCGACGGCGACAAGCCTGAGGCCGATATTTCGGGACGCGTGAGGTACAGACTATGAAATGCGTTTATCACTGATTGCTTGTAGAATACTTCAACTAGATTTTTTCAATCTTTTCCGGTAGATCAAAGTTGTAAAAATGTGAGAAACGGAAATCTTCGTTGGCGGAAGGGTCGAATGCTTAAAATTTGAAAGATCGATCTGCACAGCTTGCCTTGAACGAGAGACACCTTGGTCCCTTGACCCAGCAGAGGTTGCCTGCATCTCTGACAGTGGAAACAGTTCGGATGGAACGCGTGTTTCTCGCCGGCGGTGACCACGTCGCCCTCCACGTACTCGCCGCAGCCCGCGCACTTGGTGCCCCAGCGTTCCCTGTAGTCCTGCAAAAATCACGAACGCGTATATCGCACGATCGTTCCGACCGATTCTCCAGACACAACATATCCCCGAGCCCGTATCGTAAACAGCCGCGCGATATCGGCCGTTTCAACCGCGCTCGCAGGCTCGTTTGTCATCGTACCAGCTCGCCAACCGAGTTTATTTGCGCTCGATGACGAATGTCTTTCTTTTTCGTTCCTTCTCTCTCGACAGAGGAATCTTTCGTGAAATATTTCGTCCTTGGTCGAGCGGGAATAAAACCGTTCAGCGAGAGATCCGTGGATCGAGATTAAACTTTGTCTGGAAAATGTCAAAGGCAGACCTCGAAATCTCGAGGAGAACGTTCGATGATTGCAATAGAAACCTGAAAGAATACGGCTCGAGTGTCTTTTTAATATTTCATGTACTCCAGAGTTGTCGGTGGCTGGATCTTCGTTCGTAAGTTTCAAGAGAGGTTCGAAGTGATTAGGCGAACAGAGGGAATTTACCAATCGAGACGCAGCCGTTGGAGTTTCAAGCGACGCGATTATTTTCTTTTGATTCGTTTAATAGGCTATACTTGAGCTAGTAAAACGAGATAAGAAACAGGTAAAAACGAGGGGTGGAACAGCGAAACGTGACTATACTCGCCGCGAGTGCATTACGCGCGCTCCAGATAATGGCCGTTCCCCGAGCCGTGTTCTACAAGCCACTCTTTTTTTTTTCCTATCGAGACACGGTGGTTTTTTATTTATACGTTTCAGTACCTTGGTGCAGTAGTAAGAGCCCTCACGCGCGAAAAAGCCGCCCTGCGCTAAGCTCGCGTTGCATTGAGCACACTTGAAACACCCTATGTGGAAATACTTGTCCTGCACTCGTAGCACCTCCCCGCTGCACTTCTTCTTGCAAGACTGGCAGAACGTTTTACCTGAAACAGAAAGTAATTGCATTTTCGTCAATGTCCGCGTAATCGAATCGACAAATCCGTTTGTCGTCGAATTAACTCCATTTTTCAAATGTCTCCTAACGTTCGTTCCGAAACACTTAATCGTGTATGCTGTTTCCAGTTGGTCTAGATATAGATCTCCCACTGCAATTTTCCTAATACCGACTCCGTTGACCTATGAACTCAATTTTTCCCCGTTGCCCAGCTCTACTTCAGTGTTCCCAGTTGCGTTAGATTTACGTTCCAGTTCGCGAACGAGTAACCCATCACTCTGACTGAATAACAGGCCGTTTTCAATCAATCAATGCCTCGTAACACGTAATTTAATCGAGAGTATGAAAAGCCCACAAGGTTAATGGGCCTCGTTCTCTGCAACCGCGTTTGTTGACCCCTTTCCTAGCGATTTTTCTCACGACTGCATTCAGCGTAGTTCTATTGTTAGTATCCGACTACAAAATATTTCGAAAAGATATAACTAAGCAACAGGTAACCTGATTTTAGGAACAATAATTTTACTCTCGCCGACGATCGCAACCAAACACGTATAAATGAACTGAAACTAATAAAATTCTTCTTAACGTTCTTAACCCTTTAAGAATGTTCCGTTAGAAAAGATTTCTTCCAAATATGTCAGTCCGCAAAAAATTCCTGAAACCCGAATGAAAAACGATTGTTCCGATCGCAGTGTTTCAGCGTTCTTTTCGCAAGGAGAAAGGAAGGAACACCGCGAAGCCGATCTTTTATCTGCGATCGAAGCCGGACTCTTTCACCCGACGAAGGTAAAAGTTTCGCGGCAGAACGGGTGGCTCTCTCCGCTTAGAAAGGACTTCCTCGGTCCCTTCGCGGAGGACTTCTGGAATTGTTTCAGCAAAACACACCGGCCCCGCTAATTAATAGCAAACAGACCGAGGCAATCGCCGCGTTTTTTCCGCCGCGCGGCCGGTTTCCAGGAAACGATAACATTCTCGACCGATCGACATTTTCCGCCGGCGAAAAAAAGCAGTCGATCTTTATCGTTCCCGATTCGACGGTGACTCGACTGCGCGCGTTTCGATCACGAAGGAACGAATCGCCGAATAAAACTCGAGCAAACCAACCGCGAAAACGGCGAAAACGGCGGAAACCGATGCGAGTTCTCGGCATTCCGCACGAAATTTTACGAGGAGCCTAGAATTGCATTCGTCCGCGTCGATTTCTCTCGCGCCTTTCTACTGGCCCGCCTCTGGGGAACAATTATCGCGGTACAACTGCGTTTTCATGGAAAAATGAAAACGTTGATGCAGAATAAACATCGCAATTTTCCCAATTAACGCGATCGAAGTCGATTTATTACACGACTTCTTATATTAAAACGAAAAAATGATATATTCGTTGCAACATTAAATTTATCGTGAAAGTTGGATGTTCGTAATCGATCATCAATTAAAATCCTTTCACCGGTGTACAATGTTCAAAGTTATTTCATTCGAGAAGCGTATTTATCCATATAGCGGAAACCAAGCCCAACTCCCCAGCCCAGTCTATTCGCAAAAGGCTGGGAAAATCTGAGACACCAAGAATTGGGAAAAATCCGATCGCGGCGGGTCAAGAAAGAACACCGCCCAATCCCGACATTCGCGCTCCCATTGATTCGATCGACGCCCGATCGTTCCGATCGGCATTCGGCTCACGCGCCGCCGGGTTATGGCGCGTTACACGCGTAATCCGGTCGTCGTGGAACTTCTAAAGCGTGACTCAAAAGACCTGCTTAGCGTGCTGCTCGGGGACGCGCGTATAAAGACGCGCGCACACAGCGAGAGAAGAAAAAATGTCAGGGAGACGAAGGAAAAAGGTGGTTCGAGCACTTGTCGGAGTGCACTTCGCGCGGGCCAGGTCTCTCGGCCCGCGTATCGAATCCGGGTGAAGGTCTTCTCTTTCAGCCGCGCTGGAAGAAGCGGTCGAACCAGCCTGTCTCGTCGATTCTCGAGACGCGGACGCGTCGCCGGGGTCGAGGGAAAAAAATCCGCGGATAACTTATTGCCTCAGCTGTCGGCGTCGTTTCGTACCGCGGGAAAAACAAAGGGCAAAAAGCCCCGGAGGCAAAGGTGAGAGGGGAGGAGAGGCTCGAGGGACACGCGGGCGAGGGACGATTCGGTCGTCAACGATCAAATCGTTGCCGCGATTAAATTGTTCCCGATGTTTTTTACCGTAATTCTCGGGCCGGTCGCTTTCCAGCGTAATTTAATGGACGTTTCGGCCGGGGCACCGGGGGCTTTTCAATTACCGGCGCTCCCGCAAAAACTCGATCCGGTTTTCGCGTTAATTGGACGATCTCCGGCGGCGAACGGTCGCGAATTATCGGATCGACGTCGCGATCCGCGCGGCGGGAAGTCGCTCGCGTGGGCGGTCGCTGGGAGTCGAAGGGGATCGATCACCGAGGTTTCAACAGTGAGACGAGGTGTTGCGAAGATGAGCACTGCCTCTTGGGCCTTGAAACCTGTCGCTGCGAGCTTCGACGATAGCTTTACGGACATTTGTTGTACACTTTATATCACTGTTTCTAACTGTTCCCGATTGTTTGTTGTTATACCGACACTGCACTCGAGCGTCGAAGGGTTCCAAATTTCAATGTTAAGCCTCCAAGTTTTGAGGACGCAGCTGTTGAGCTTGAACTTTGGAGCATCGAGGAGTCGAGCTTTAGAAAACTCCGAGCGTTCGAGACTCGAGCTTTTTACAAGAATAGACAATAGACGTAATCGCACGCATTTTATAATATTGCTTTGTTAGACAGATCATAGGTCGATCTTGGATAGACGAGGAGGAGTCAAGGGGCTGTGGATTGTTGGTAGGATCGTAAATCGGGACGAGGCGACACCGACAGCCTTTGCAACACGTGTAACAGCTGCGACTGCGGACAGTCGACACACGTTCGGTTACGCAAACGCAATTATATTCAACACTCTGGCGATCGTTGACTCGTGACTATATTTGTCGTGTTGTAGATAGAATAGCTGGGTTATGCTTGATTTCTTTCGGTTCCCCGGTGTTGATGGCTGTCGTTACAACGTTTTTGCCAGAGTATATTCTTTTCTAGCTATTTCGCAACCAGTTGTTCCTGTAGCTTTTAGCTTAGAAATAAGAGAAACCGATTCGCATCAGCATTCTGAAAACCTAGGGAAAAAAACCTATTTTTCCTTCTACGAATCCTCGGGCGTAAAACTTCATCGACAACGTCGTTGCTCCAACGAAAGCCTGATCAGCATTATTCCCAGAAAAGCATACTCAATTCCAGACACAGATCAAGTATGTTCAGTCTTCTCAGCGCTAACGTTTTAATAAATTCCGGTTGGTAAACACTGACGTAGCAACAAGTTTTTTCTCGTAAAGACCGGGTCAGAAGATAATAGATGTAACATTACAAGATGTTAATGCGTTCGGGCTACGTAATCATCGGCTGTTTTTTGTAACGGTGCTCTTTTTGCCGTCGAATTCTCAGTAGGCAACGCCGGCAAGCCGGGAATGGCTGGGAACGTTTGTCTTTCTCCTATTCCGCGCCAAGTGTTAAAGGAAACGGCGAGTGACCGTCAACGCTACTTGTCCAAGCGACTCGCTGACTCACGCCACGAACTTTTTCTCGGCCGTTCTCAGCTTCCCCGCGGTGAAACGGGCATTCCTCGCACGCCGCGAGGAAGAATGCGATTTTTCCTAACCGGTGCACTCGAACAATCGACTCGCGATTAAGCGGTAATCACCGTAACGACGAACTGTTGAAATCTTGTACAGGAACTCGTAAATCGAAATGAGCCGCGCTGTGATCGACGGACTGCGGAAGTTGACGGTTTTTTTTTAGAAAACTGTAGCGTGCAGTGAAATGGAAATTTAACGCTACAACTACCGGGTACCTAATCTGATAAATAATTACCTATTCATCGAATTAATGAACGTACAGTGCTTTAAGTTTCCACTTAATTACACTGTACAAGTGAAATTAGAAATTTCAAATATATTTTCGAGTATTTAACACTCTAATATCAATAATCCCGGAATAAAATTTCACACTGTGAACATACTGCTAATAAAGCATTTTCAAGCTTAATTACATTTAACGCTTGGAGATTACCATCCGTATATATCAATAAGTTTATTGTGCAAAATTCCATATCAGCGTCTAGCACCGACCGTACCGCGAACCGGCTAAATGACCGGTTTTCAAATTTCATTAAACGTTCCGCGTTTCCTTCCGTTCATTTTACTTTATATCGATTCTTATATCGCCGGATTAATCAGTTTTTCAATGTCCGTCTTTCCCTGTGTTGCAGTTTCCACTAAGAAAAATTGATCGCCCAACTTGATTACTTTTCCTTTGTAACCGGTTATTTGACGCTAGCGTTAAAGACAAGCGTACTAAACAGTCTCATCGCACACGACGCTCTCGACAAACCATACAAATTTCTCTCCGATCCGAATTTCTCCGAATCAGCCGCGTAACAAACGTACGTTTAAGATTACTTTCGCGGCCCGATTGCCCAACGGACCTCGACCGACCAACGAAAAACATCGTCGCGATCAATCTCGCCGCCGTTGCTCACAATCAATTAGCAACAACTCTTCGACGCGCCGTATAATTTCGAAAACGGTACCCGACGAAGACGCACCGGTGAAATATCAAGTACCGTCAATCGTTAACGCTCGAATTACCGAGCAGTCGTACTGACCTTTTCAAGCTTTTCTATAGACACGGCAACAGTGCGTGTTGCTAAATCAATTTCTTCAGCAGTTTATCGCAGAAAAGTTTATTATCTAAAAGAAGAAATCCGAAATGTATGGTTTCGACTCGCCTGGTGGTTTTCGTGTTAAAAGTCAATGATTCAGTCACGAGTCGACGGGGTACCGGCTGATAAGCGCGTCTGTTTCATTAAGTTATCTGTTGTTTTGAACATGAAGCCTCTTTTCCGCTTTCTCTCTCTCTCTCTCTTTCTTTGTTCCTCTCTTGGTCTCTCTGC